GATTGACTCAATGAGGAATTCAATGCAAATACTAACTTTGTTTCCCCCCTCTACTAACATGCACCTAGCTTTGAGCTACAAACCCCCACAGTCTTGGATGAAATCTTTTAAATGATTAAAGCAATCCAATTTGAGTATTGTTCTTTCCCTTKGTGGTGCAATAGCAAGKTAAATATTTCACGTGCTGCCTTGCACAGGGCAAAAGCACATTATTGGCATCCTGTACTGATTTTCTCTCCCCATTTTTTCCCATAGCCTGTAGTCAAGTCACASCAGAATCAGGCAGATCCTTGGCATATGCAAGTGCTTCAGTTAGAAGTGAGATTAAACTCCTTAAAACTCCTTAATCAAAATTCTCTTCTCACATTCCCAGAATAAGGTTACAAAGCTCCAGCACCTGTCCAGGAGGTGGTTTATTGCTGTAGATGAAGATGGGCTCTGCAACTCTCTTTTTGTTCTCAAATACCTTCCACCATTCTCTAGGATATGAAGAAATATTCTCTCTGGTTCTTAAAAGGCCATTTTATGCTTTCTTTAAGAAGGATAGTCTTGACTAATGTACTCAGAATGGGATAATAATGGCAACTTGACATGCTTAAAAGCATTTTATACAATTCAAAATGACAAGTTGTCAAAAATGTAATGGACAGCCACAGGTGGTGTACCTGATGTGGAGGGAAGACCATTAAGTGTCTTGAAGTTTAAACTGGGCAGCCCTGCTGTGAAACATGCTTGAAAGCCCCATTGTCTGCTGGGTTGCTTCTGAGCCTTTGAAAGCGCATGAGGCTAGATTAAAGAAAGGTGTTAATTTAAACTACAATTCCTGAATAGCAACACAAGTAGACCAACTTGCAGATAGACCATCACATCTAATGCAGCCATTATTTCTCTGTTGTGCTGCTGTTCTTTTGTTCTTGCCCCCAGTGGAATGTCTCAGCTCTGTTTACAGTGCCCAGCGATGCCCCTTTTGTGACTGGGRCCTGGAGGAGGTGGCTGAAATCCTCAGCTACTGACTGCCCTGGTTAATGTACCAGGTGATTCCTTAAGGCTGTACCTGATTCTTGTTTTCTTAATCCATGTTGGGTAGCAGCACTATTTTTCTTTTAACCCTTTTCACCTCTTTCTTAATCAAAGCACACATKTAAGATCACATTGTCTCCTCTAGATGCTGATCCTTGAAGATGCATACATACTTATACCATAATAATAAGTGGGCGTGACCACAGATAAACTCAAAYATGGGAATCCCTTGAAAGAGAATGCTAGGAAAATGGAGAATCTGAGAAAATTCAGGCTTGCAGCTGGCTGCTTAAATGTGAATGAAGGTGCTGTCCAGCTTTAGATGTATGTATGGAAAAAATGTGTCTTCTTTGTTCTAATACCAGCATAAGTGGTTAAAAGGAGAATTCAAAACACAATCCAAAGCTCTAGTTACAGCTGCTCTAACAAGTAGTAAGAAGAATCTCCCTTTCCCCTGTATTTGCAATTCATTCAAATGGTAATGTTTTTACAGTGCAAGATATGGGCTCTGGGTGCCTGCAGGCACCGAGGGTATCTGTGGGATTGTACYCATGCTCCTGAAATAGAGCAGTTCACTTTCTCCACTGCTATCAGCCCGAGCTGTTGATGAAACACTTCAACACAGCCCAGAGCAAACCAAGCCTTGTGAAGAGTTTATGTGACTGCAAAACAACTCATATTAATGAGCTCTTTGAATTCAGACTGATCCCTTCTATCTGGAGCTAAATAAGTTGTCTAGAATAAAATAGGGTAAAACCCAGAATTTTGAAAGGATCACTGAAACACTGATGAGGTTAAGTCAGCATGTGGAACAACTTCTTTCTCTGAAGGGGCAGAAAAGGGAGCCTGAAGCAATGACATTTGTAATGTAGCTCTCACAGCTGTTTCAAGTTAGGGGGTGTGAATCCAGGTCTTAACGTGCAAGTGACATTTACTGTCTCTTCTACAGCTAAAGTCCTTTAAATAACAAATGCACACTTAGTCCGACCTCTTGACACTRTATGATTAGTTTAAGGATATGTTTTGGTTTTAATTCCACCCCCTCTCCCCCACCTCTAGAAGTAGAATTTGGTCATATTTTTTCCCCTAGATGATTAATTTTAAAATGTTTACAGGACAAAACATCAAAGTTTGTGGTTGCCTGTCACCTTTCCCAAATCTTAAGTGTTTATAGATATTTGTTTCTAGAATGTGTATTTGATTTAATCCTCTAATTGATTTTAGTGAACTCTGAGCACAGCAGTCATTGGAGTTCATTTAGCAAATAAGCATGTGGGCAGGTGTAATGCTGCTTTTCTTCTGCAGTTACTTCAGTCGGTCTAATATCAGCTGTTCCCTCTCCTTTCAAGTCTCATTAAAACATCACCATCTCTAGAGCAGGACATATATCCAAAAACGACAATCTCAGGGTATCTGTGACAGTTTATCAGGAGCCTCTGGCTTTCAGTAGGYGGTTTGTCTCACAAGTTAGGGCATGACTGATGCATCTTAGCCTCTTGGAGAGGGAGCTTATCATCGCTCCATAGCCTTTTAAATGGCAATGGGGGCTCATTAGCCTCTGAGGACTATCTGGGCTCTGAGTTGCTAAGGAGGAGGAAGCACTTTTACCCACTTGCACAAACTGCTCCTTCAGACCAGGCTGCTGAGACAGATGGTCAGTGGCACAGTTTGATTTGTTGGGCTGGAGAGCTAGAGGGCAGGATACAAGTCCCTGAACCATGTGTCTGGAATTRCCCAGCCCACCCATGGAATGACGAGTCCACATGAAATGTTCTGGAGTCCCTGCCACATTGCACGTCATCATGCCCCAGCCTGAGCTGTGGCTTTGTGCTTTCAAAATGCATATTAGAGCCAAGCAATTCTGGATCTCCTTTGGCACTGTTTGCAGAAAAATTTTAYGTCTGACTCTGTTAGGCTGGCACTTTGTTATGCAGGGCATGRACTCACTTCCTTTTCCCTCTGCCTGCCTTCACTAGAAATTTTCCTGCACACTGTTTAATAAGTATTTTACAAGGCTGCAGCTCTACGGTCTTGTCCTTCCCCCCCTGACAAAGGGAAGCGAGCCCTTCTCCAGACGGGATGGTTCCCGTGTGGCTGAAGGCAGGGCTGGCAGGGCTGAGGCATGCTGGGCTTTGCTGATGTAACGGGCTCCCTGCAATTTTCATTCAGATCTGGTTGGCTGTGAGCTGGCAAAGAGCCTCAGCCTCAGATACGCCTCCAACTCAGATGAGGTCATCCCTGCTTTTTTTTTTTTTTTTTTTTTTTTTTTTTTTTTTTTTTTTTTTTTTTTTTTTTTTTTTTTTTCCCTCGTTTCGGAAGTCTGCTGTGTATGAACGTTTAAGGTCAAAGTGTTAGTTTCCACACCACTGCAAATCTCTGGGAGCAGGAGCCCCCTTGTCCCCCTCTCAGCTGCTCGCTTTCCCAGCACCATCACAGACTCTCCCTTTAAAGAGAGAGGAGGAGCAAAAGGAAGATGAATTTACCGCAGTGCATTTTACAATTGATTCTCGCATCCAGCTCAGAGAGGAGTGTTTGCTGGCCAGACATTGCAGAGCCGCACAGTCCAAACACGAGCGTAAAGTAGCTCCAGGACGGAAGAAACTCCAGACCCTGCTGCTGCCAGAAGTGGAACTACTCGCCCTGCCCAGTCGCTTGGTCCCGTCCCCGCCCTCCTACCGTGTGCCATGCAGCGATGCATCCAGCCAGCAGAGGACGGGGTAGGTCCCCTCGGCTGTCAGTCAGTACGAGCTGCTCGGCTCGGGACGAGCTGATCGCGAAATAAGGACTGGCCCTGCGGAGAGCRGAGCACAGAGAGCTGGGGTGCCCAACCCTGGCCCCGTACCCTGCCTGGAAGCATTGCCTGCTCGGCATCTTCCTCGCTCCAGCCCCAGTCCGGGTAATCCCGCGTCATCTCCCGTAAAGAACTGCCTACTAACTTCGGCGCCGACGCCAGGTCTGCCTGCACGTCGTGGGCAGGATGGGGGTTGCGGCATCTCCTCTCTGCCCCGAGGGCAGCCAGCCCCCTCCTCGTCTTCCTCCCACCGCCGAGACCCGCGCTGGAATCCCTTTGGCACAGCCTCTTCACCATGTCCTGCCAGGGGCAGAGAGCACTCAACCGAGTGCCTAAACGGGACCGGCCCCAGCACCGCCGGCAGATCCCGGCTCCAGCACAGCGGACAGATCCCGGCCCCGGATCCCAGCACAGCGGACAGATCCCGGCCCCGGATCCCAGCACCGCGGACAGATCCCGGCCCCGGATCCCAGCGCCACGGACAGATCCCGGCTCCGGACTGAACAATCCCAGCACCACGGACAGATCCCAGCTCCGGACTGAACAATCCCAGCACCACGGACAGATCCCGTCACCGGGCTGACCAAACCCCGCTCCCCGGACAGATCCCGCGGTGTCTCCGGGCTCCGCCGGCGGGAGGGATCGAGCTCGGCGCCCGCTCCAGCCCCTTCCGTGCCTTGGTRCCTCGGGTTCCTGCATACTGCTGGCAGCCCGCTGCGGTAGCAGCACTCCGCTCTGCCGAGAAATCCCCCCGCACGCACTGCCACCCACCTTGCTCACGGTGCCAGAAGAGGGCTTGTACTCGGGTTCAGGGTCTGTCTTCTGCGGATCGGGATTTAAGAGCTTGGACAGTGCCTGGTTATTAGCGGTGTGTGAGTCTACGGACCCCAAGGTGTGCTACAGAGTTAAAGAGAAACCCTGGAACTGTCACGGTGTGGAGGACTAAAATAAACACCATACAACCAGCAAACCCAACCCAGGCCTTCCTGCCTCCTTGCAACCAACTTTACACACACACACACAACCGTGAGAATTCTCTGCGTTCTTTCTCTCCGTGCTTCTTCCTTTGGCAACTGTAGGATGAGGCATTTTCTTCTATCTGGCTCAGGGTAAAAGCATACCCTGGGGRCATCAACACACATCTGGCAGGGACTGAAAGGTTTTAATCCAGCCTCCACTGCAATCAGCAATGGCAAATGAACCAGTGATTCTGAATGTTTATGACATGGTGAGTAGGAAACACTACTGMCTGGGGGGGCAGTGGGGCTGGGTAGGAGTTCATGCTTGGAGGGCAGGCACTGTGCAAAAAGGAGTGAGGCACAGATCTCCAGAGAGATTGATTCCCTCCCCCTCCCTCTCTTCCCTGGCCCCAACTCCTCATCCAAGCCTATCATCCTGTCATGWCAGAGATGATGCTGACCCCTGTTTGGTTTTTTTTTTTAAGCTATTTACTTTATTGGTAATTATTTAGATTACAGGTATTGTGTCTGTCTATTTTCTGCAGTATCCATCAGAAACAGCATTAGGTGAGGAAAGGACTTTTTAATTTTCAGTGCCCCAGTTAAGGAAGGAAATGTGATCACCTCTGTCTTTGTTGGAGAGAATTGTCCTTTAATTTTGAGTGAGCAAGCACTATGGGGCTGTGGGGYGGGGGTCAGGATTTAGTCTAGGGAGGAGAAACAGCTGTAGAGCTGCAGTAAGGACACAGTTTCTAGGCTAATAATCTGGATCAATTCCTCATGTGCGTAAGACTGTAGTTAATAATTTTCTCTGAGGTTAATTGYATCAACAAGAGTAAGAAATTTGCTGGTAAACTTTCATCGCAGAAAGAGGCATGGGCACATGCTGCTAGGCAATATTTCCTGGAAGTTCACAGGGTAGCAAGTGGTTTTTCTTGACCTCTTCTTGCAAAGGGGAATGTGAGTGGGTGTTGTCTGTGCTAGCAAATCAGAAGGTCAAAATCTTGGCACAAGCCCCCAAAGGGAAGAAGGCTTGGCACAACCCATTGGCTTGCTGGTCTTAGGAAAGGCATTTTCAGATGAGGAATGTTTTGATGATCATGTGCTTCACCTTTGTTTTTTGATTGCCCTCTAATGATTAAAAAGAGTAATTTTCAGCACTTCCACAAATTTAGTGAATTTTTCTGGGGAAAATGCAACCTTATGAGGCCCAGATGCTGACTGAGCTCTAAATATTCACCTCCAGCCCTTTAAGATTACAGCATACACTTGCCTTTTATCATCAGGCGTGACAACTTTTACCAGGGAGCCCACAGAATAGTGTGGGTTTCCCTGTTGGGGAAATCCAGAGAATAGACACYGAAGAGATTAGGAGTGGGTTGCTGTAAAAGTCAAACGTCTTTTTATCACAAGGATCAAGAGATCTTTTGTGAACTAAAACAGGTGGGTTGTTTTCTGAGGGAAGAGTGAGTGGTAAGGGTTATTTAGGTAGAAATGAATCTGCATTGGTGAGCAGTCCAAAAAGCACAAGTACAGTGGACTGAAGCTGCCTCTTCCAGAGCTGTTATTGGTAAAATTGAGCAAGTTGGTGTAAAATCTTTCTCAATATTTTGGTCTTGAGTTTTTAATGGCCAGTTGCTTAGCAGCCTAAACTGTGAACTCCCTCAAGATGTTTTTCAACAGTTCTGGTAACCCAATTAGGTGGTAGCTAGTGCATGATAACAAGGGACTGACATTGCAAATGCACATGCAAGAGCTTACCATTAACCCTTTGAGGAAAATGAAAAAGCTGTGTTGTCCTTTTTTAATACCCACTGTCTTCTTTGCAATTTTTTTTAGTTTGTTTTGCAGCAGATTATGGTGTTAACTTTCTTCTCTCAGCCACAGTTGATCCGTCTCAAATCAGTGACTAGTTCACCACTGAGTTGAAGAGATCCAAATACTGTCTGGACATGGTCTTTACCTGTGTCTGATTGACACCAAAGATGAAGCCTTAAGTAATTAAGGCAGAAGGTACTTGCTGTTCATGGACACTGTGTTCTAAGATGGACACCCAGACACAGTGAACTGAATTGAAGTCAACAGTTTACTTCAGACTGAGTAGGTTTTGCTGCATGAAAACCTTCCTGTGTAAGTAGTAACTCCATGGGTTAACCAGTCTGTACACAGAACCCTTTCTGTTTTCATGTGGCATCTGTTTGGTCACCGCTGAGTCACCTGTAGCWCAAGTCCTACATTATGACTATTGAGACGACATGCTTTTCCACTGCTGCTATGATTTTAACACCATGAAGTCTGGAAGGCAAAATCTGCACTTTGTGCTGGGGAATTGCGGGGGAACTGGGAAATGAGCATGTTTGCTTAAATGACTGTTGAAAAACTAGCCTCAATGGAAAAAACCCAACAACAACGACAAAAAAAGACAGCTGGGAACAACAATTAACTGGATGTAAAGCTCTGCTTTCCTGACAAAGAACATGACCCCCATATGGCAACTGGAAGCACTTACACTGCTGGAAAACTTATCCCTAGGGCAGAAGTTCAATTATGGGCTTTGTTCAGCTATGAAATATCCACTCTGTGTCATCTTATGTATTCAAAGATTATAGCCATTTATCCTTTTACCTATTGGCTATGTAGCAGGCTTCTTTAAGAAAAAGGTGCTGCAATTTGATTAGGTGTTTTGCACAAATAGCAGGTAGAACTATTTGTAGGCTTATTTTCTTTAGCATAAAATAATGGAGCAAAAATCACTGGGTGTTTCAAGTGTTCTGAATATTGTAATCAAAAGCAACCTGTCCTCACCCCCAGCGCACAGGTTGGTTATATCCTGCTCTATCTCTTGTCAAAGAGTTTGTATGAGATTGTTTGCACCTAGACACTTGCAAAACAAACAGGCAGGAGGACTTTGCTGCTCAATTAGGACATTTTAAATGTCCTAAATGATATGTAGGATGCTGAACTCTGGTTTAATGTGCAAGTGTGAACACAGAATAACAACATGGATTAGGGTTTGATCACTGATGAATCTCTTTCCCAGTCTGAATCCAGCTCTTGCATGGACTTGATCWAAGCCAACTGCTGATTGGAGACCTGCAATAATTAACTGGGTCTATAAAATCTGTGATGGAGTTTGCTCAGATCAGTCAGTTACTGCTTTGCCTTCAGAGGGACAAATCAAATTCCCTTCATAACTTGCAGCTCTCTTCCCTCCAGTCCACCTTAATAAGCTGTTTATCATGGAACAGATCTTACTTAGATCACAGGGTTGACTTTTTTTTTAGCCAGGATATCATCCTGTTCCCTCATCACTTTGTGGGTTACTTTGCAATGGTTTTCTTAGTGCCTATTTAAATCAGACAGAAGAGTAGCTGCAATTATTGCCTGAGTTTAAATCTTTAACAAGCTAAACATATTCCACTAAAAATAGTTTGCTTGGCAGAGAWTCAAGTTAGGGGGCTCTCATTATATTTTCAGCTCATTGCATGGCACATTCATGCTATGGTATTAAAGCCAAAGACATTCATATCACTGTTGTCCCTCTTTTATTACAGCTGAGGTTGTCCTGAATTTCCACTGTCTTTGCAGCTGATAACATATAAAATTGGTAGGGTCTGTTTGAATGAGGGGTGTCTCTTACTCGGCCTTGTCCCACAGTTATTCCATTGGCTCCCCTGACATTGTCATCCCCTCTAGAGTGAATGAGAGGGAAATGATATTCAGGTCACTGTAGATGGACTGAAGGAGGAGAGATGCTTTGTGCCTCTGTCTTCAATACATTAGGACCTTTCAGTCTATTATAGAAGCAGCACAGGATTGCAAGCGAAGCACTTCATTCTGTGAAGTGATTGTTTTAAAGCACTGACTAGATCATGAAGCATGTCATTGTCTCTCTGGAGGAAAGAATAAGTCTAGTCTAGGAATAAATCCTAGTTACTCAGAAAAATGTGAACACATTTGTGCTTACTGAAGGTAAAGGTCTCAGATGCTCTTAGCTCACTCAGTCAGAAGAGTGAAAAATCCTRGTGCAGGTGGTGGCCCCATCTCTGCACTACTTGTTAGCTGTTTGTGAGCTGCTGCATGTGGAGAGGTGCAGCATTCTGTATTTGGAATTCCAGGAAGCCGCATGGAGAGCAAGGGGAATTTTTTGTCAAGTCAGTTGATAGCTGTGAAATTTCTTGCAGTGATGAGCTGAACAGATGCTCTAAGTCAATAGTAGAACTTGTGGTCTTGAAAGATTAAGTGGAGAGTCACTAGGATTTCTTCCCCCCCCCCCCCCCCCCATTGTTCATACACTGGGAAACTGAAAGCATTTAACAAATAGAGAGCAAAAACTAAAATATTGCTTTTAGGAGATTTTAATTAAATTCTGGCAACTCATTGACAACTCCTAACATACATACATATATATATATATATATATATATATATATATAAAAAATTAAATGCTTTGACTTTCCTTCCTCAAATATTTGCCAGTTATCTCTGGCCAAAATGACTAACTAAATCTGAATCATTTCAGTTCGCCAAAACACACTGTTCACTCAAAAAGTTTACCATGTTCTTGGAGGGGCATGGTAAGTGTACCATATTCTTATTTATTCTGTGACCAGCCACAAAACTCATAAGAATTCCCTCTTCCATGAATTAGAACTCGCTAGAGGAAATCTGGGGTTTTAAAATTTTTTTCACGGGCTTGTTGTGGAGGTAAGCTCAAAGATAAATCCCTAAATTCCTAAAGGAAAAGGGGAAGATTTTGTGCTTGCAATTTTACTTTACACTGACTCTTTATTTCTTCAGAATCTTACTCATTCTGCTCTCTTCCAGTCATGGCTAACAAAGCAGAATGGTGAGCTGACAGGTGCCTGATGTCTGGAAATGGGCTCCCCATACGAGTGCTAAATGCCCCTTTTTTCCAGTAGTCAAACATAGTGCTACTCAAATGTGGTAGTGTGAGGGATCAGGTAGCTCTCAGGTGTTTGTTTTATGTGCCTTCCTAGAGCTTTCAGTTGRCCTTCTGTGCTGTTTTTTTGTTTGGTTTGATTTGGTTGTGTTTGTTTGTTTGTTTGTTAGGGCTGAGTTTAGATGGTTGAACCATATACATGATGCATAATGGGTTCAGGGTTCATAATCACTCAGGTATTATACTATGATGCTTTCTATTATGGGCCAAAAAGCTCTCTGAGAMGACTCTTTGTTTAAAAGGTCAGAGAGACTAAATAGACCATTGATGAGAATGAGAGAGTAGGGCAGGGAAAACCACTGTCAC